TCAACTAAAGATTGGCATTGAACTACAAAATGGCTCCGAAAAATTTTGAGGAGGCCGGTGGAGATGATTCAGCTTCACAAACTACTCTAGCAAGGACTTGAGACAAGCCCTGCACTTTCCTAATATGCAGAGCTGTACAAAATAATACAGCTTGACAGTTAATTTCTTTTTAGTATCCTGTAAAGATATAGCTGCCACCCCCAGACAGCAGGAAGTAACTTTAAGAAAAGGGATCCCGCCGGGCATTGGCGCATGCCTTTAATCCCAGCACTCCGGAGGCAGAGGCAGCCAGATCTCTGTGAGTTTGAAGTCAGCTCTGATCTCCAGAGCGACTGCCAAGATAGGCTTCATAGCTACACAGAGAAACCCTGTCTGGAAAAACCAAAAAGAAAAAACAAGAGGGATCCCACATTTTCAAGAGGTGGGGTTGGTGCGTTTTGGTCACTCATTGGGTTATGGATACTTGTCAATGTTTAGGGAGTTTGGCTACAAAATGTTGTTGGTTACAGTCAGGAAGAAAGTTGAACACAGGGGATTAGATTAAAAGTTTTGTTTCAAAAAAAGGATACATATATGCTAGAATAAAAGGGTACACTATTGAATATAATCTTGAAAAGAAAAAAAGGAGGATATAGGTATGATAAGATAAAAAGGTAAATTATTTAATCTACTCCTAAAAATTATAGATATAATGAGATAAAAAGCTAGTTATTGAATCTACTTTTAAAAAGCAACTACTAGTTTTAAATATTTTACAACTGACTTCTGTATACTGTATACAAATATTGTATATTGATACAAATTTGAGATTAATTTGTTAAGACATATTGTTCATACATTTCTAATATCAATCAAGGTATTGTATGTACCTATACAGCTCATTTATCAATGTAATGCAAATTTCTAGCTTTTGAAAGTTATTATTACCAACTATATAAGATAATAAGGAAATGTAGGTTAGTAATTAGTCACCTATTACAATCGAACTTGTAATCTTATTATGTATGTTTTCAAAGACAAACAGATATGTTTTAGAAAGACGGATTGTCTTCAAACACTTCAGAGATCTACAGAATATTTCATTTAAGATCTGTTAATAACATAGGTACTTTTCAATGACGATGAGACATGTCTGCTCTTGGTAGCACCAATCTACCTAAGAGAAGATGATGGGCAACAAAGAACCTCACATGGAGTTTACTTTCTTTCTAACAAAAGTAAACCACTGGGTAAGAAAGTGCCCTTACATTGACTGTTGACAGTTTGCTGTCCAAAATGGACAAACTGGACACAAAACAGAGTGACTGCAAAACCTTGCCAAGACAAGGCAGGACTGCCCTTCAGAAAATCTTGCTTTACAGAAAAGTCTGTCAGAGATGCTAGGCCTATGAGCCAAAGATGGATGCCCCAATGTTGCAGAGGAACGCTGGGTGACTGTCTAGGCAGCCAGCTATTTTTGTCATTTCTCATACTTTTTGAAGTCATTTGATTGCACTTCATGTTTACTAGATTAATATTATTTCCTTCTCAGGTCACTGAGGGAGTTGAAAATAGATAGTACAGTTATAGTTTTTATTGTTTACCAGACTCAGAAGAGAAACTCACTAAAGAGTGAATCAGTCTAAAAAAGAATTTTAATCTCACACATTTAATCCCAACATTAAGGAAGTGTATAGGACAAAAGCAAGGTCTCAGAGAGCTCTCCTTCAGCCATGCTGTGGAGAGCTAACAGTCTGAGGCTTGGTGGGAGCTCGTAGAGACAGAATCAGCCCATTCAGCCCAGGGTAGAGGTAAGAAACTAGTGGCCAGGTGCTTTACTTTTCTGATATTCAGCTGGAAGCTTGAACCCCAATATCAGTCTCTGGGTCTTTTATTTATTTGCATTGCAAATGCTAACAGATTTAAGAGCTATAAATAATGTCATTCATTCATTCCATCAATGAGCTCTTTACAGCCTGGGATTCCCTTGCATTCTTTATTTCATAAAAGATAGTCTATTATAGTTACTGACTTAAAAGACTTTTTTTTACTATACCTTTACAAGAACAGGATAAAGAAAAATTTGCCTTCACAATGCCTGCTCTTAATCCCAGCCCATTAAAAGATGTAATTGGAAATTCTTCCACAAGAAATGTTAAACAGCCCCATTTTGTGTCAATAGTTTATACAGCAGTCATGAGAAATAATTCGTAAAAAGTTTCTTCAATCTATAATTTACCATGATGTGGATGATATCTTACTGGCTGTTTCAGATGCAGATACATTACAAATGTTTGATGAATTAAAGAGAATTTTGTCTTGTTGGGAATTACAAACTGCTCCTGGAAAAGTACAAAAATGATATTCTATTAATTACTTAGGATATAAGTTTATAGAAAATCAATCATGGAAAGTACAAATCAGGAGAGATGAATTAAAACCATCAATGATTTTCAAAAGTTGCTGGGAGATATTAATTGGTCAAAGCCCACAATTAGATTAACAACTCAGGAACTAAATAATTTATATCAGACCTTACAATATAATAAAGACTTAAATGGTCCAAGAAAATTCCAGCATTAGTAAAAGGTACTGCAATTTCTGCTGGGTCTATTCCTACTACTTGACAAAGTCTTAATTTTCCTTTCAGAATCAACTCAGAAACCTTTTATTACATAGGTCTTTAATTTCTTACTGTTTGTGTGGTAAAAAAAATCCATTCTAAAATAGTATCTTCTCTCTGCATAAGAATTACTGTAGGAGAATGTGTAGAAGGTAAAATAACCAGCATGCCATCAAGCTATGGATCCAAATGATCCACATGTGCATCCTGTAACTTCTTTTCTAGCAATGTCAATTCTCTCAGAGCCTTAGCCCTTGGAAATGGGACATGATCTCTAAACAGTTATGGATAGGTTCCCCTGTGAGGTCTAGAAGCAAGGTTGCTGGGTTGAGAGCAGTAAACCGGGCAGACGTGACCTTTGGTTGATTTAGGAGAGAGCCTGATATTGGGTCAATTAAGCATTTGTCATTCTCCAATCAGGTAGGATTTTGAGTAAACTCTCTATAGCATGGGGGCAGTGATGTTTAAGTTCTGTCCCAAAGTTAATTTATGTGAGTCTTTTGTCAGTAATGTAATTGTGGCAATAATTCTCAGACAAGCAGACCACTCTGCAGATACTGGGTCTAGTTTTGTTTTGTTTTGTTTTTTGTTTTATAGGGAAGCCACCAGGGCCATGGTCATGGACCCAGTCTTTGTGTTAGCACTCCCTTGGCAAGTCATTTTCTTTTGTCCACATGCAAGAGAAAATGCTTATTAATATCCAGGAATGGCATGCTGAAGAAGAATAATTTAATCTGCCTGAAAGCTGTTTCTTCGGTTTCTGCCATTTGAGGGTATCTTCAGTGATGGGAAATGGTCTTCTGTATATGTTTATCTTATTGGTTGATGAATAAAACACTGTTGGGCAATAAGGTAGCAAGATAGATGGGACTAGGGGATGAGGAGGATTCTGGGAAATATAGGTGGAAGCAGTCACCATGTAGGACTCTTTCTCCTGTAAGATAAGACCATGTGGAAAAACTTAGATTAATAGAAATGGGTTAAAAATTAAGACAGAGCTAACCAATAAGAAGCCCAAGCCAAGGCCAACAACTTTATAATTAATATAGCATTTGTGTATTCATTTGGGACTGACATGGCTGTGGGACCAGACCGGTGGGAAACAGTGTCTGTAACAAAATGGCACAAGCAATGTGTGGCATGAATTTTCATGTAAACCTGGCAAAAACTTAAAAAGGGTTTTTAAAAACAAAACAACAGAAGCAAGCACAGCTTCTTGGTAACAGCATATTCTCAGGTGAGCTCTGTTTCCCAGGCACTTAAAGGCTCATGTGCAGTTCCTTTAAGAGCTGCTTCCTGATTCACATAAGTGGCAAAACCACAGGGCTCTTTTAAGGGGCTCTTTTAACTGCCAAACAAAAATGGTGTGTATGAGAAGCTGGCAGCAGCAATGACCACCATGTGGCATGCAGATTTAGCTTTTACTCATAAAGGTTTAAGAATCAAGGCACTGAGCACAGCTCCCAGTGCTGGCAATAAACTTACACCTGCCATGTTGGAAAGCCAGCAGAATTCTGTTTAGCAGAATAAGACTCATGGCCAGAAAAAGATATAGATATGCACTAAAGACAGATTCAGAGAGAAAAAGTAAAATCTCTAAAGAGTTTACAGTGTGTTTAAATATATATGTAGGCTTGGTAGATAAAAGAAAAAGGATAAATGGTTAAAAAGAAATAGATAAGCCGGTTGTAGTGGTACCCACTGGTAGGATTTGCTGAAGGAGGCAGAGGCAAGCAGATTTCTGTGATTTCAAGGCCAGCCTGGTGTTCACAGTGAATTCCAGGATAGGCAAAAGTTCACAGAGAAACCCTGTCTCATAAAAAAAAGAAAAAGAAATAGAGTTATAATAAATAAATAAATAAATAAATAAGCCACATAAAGATGAAAAATACACAAAGAGTCTGGATACTGTATGTTATTGTGTTATCTTTGAATTTTGTGAAAAGCTGTGTATTCCCTCCAGATTAATATGGTTTGAAGCAAGACCCCCCTGAAGCAATGGCCAGGTGATCCAACATTGAAAACACCTGGAACAATGCAGCTTCAGACTACTACAGTCAAGATTTGAACAGGTTTCTGTTTTCTCATGATTCACAATGCCCACTAACAGCAGGAAGTAGTTTGGAGGGAACGATGCCCAAAATCCCAAATATTGTTTATAAATGTTTGTTTTAATTTAAATGGGGTTGGTTATAAATGCTTAAGGATCACAACCAATCTCTTTCTGAAGAAGGGGGGAGAGGGAATGATATAGAAATGAATACACTGATACAGATTTTGGCTTATTGATACAAATTTAAGATCTATTTTGTTATATGTATATTTCTCCTCTTGTTAAGGTATTGTGTTTATATAGCTCATTTAAAAATGTAATATATAGCCTGGTTTCCCTCCCTAGGCCGAAAGAGAAACAGTGCCCTCTCCCTTCTTGACCCCTGGCCCTTCCCATCTCTCCTTCCCTCTTGCCGCCTAGCTTCTGGCACCGCCACTTCTGGCACCGCTCCCACCGTGGTGATAGGGTCTTGGGCCTCCACATTACTTCAGGACAAAGAGCTCGAGGAGATCAAGAAGGAGACTGGCTTTTCTCACAGTCAGATCATACCCCTGTACAGCCGGTTCACCAGCCTGGACAAAGGGGAGAATGGGACTCTCAGCCGGGAAGATTTCCAGAGGATCCCAGAGCTTGCCATCAACCCACTGGGGGACCGGATCATCAATGCCTTCTTTTCAGAGGGAGAGGACCAGGTAAACTTCCGAGGATTCATGAGAACATTGGTTCATTTCCAACCCATTGAGGATAACGAAAAGCGCAAAGATGTGAATGGACCTGAACCACTCAACAGCCGAAGCAACAAACTGCGCTTTGCTTTCAGGCTATATGATTTGGATAAAGATGACACGATCTCCTGTGATGAGCTGCTACAGGTACTACGAATGATGGTTAGAGAGAACATCTCAGATGAGCAGCTGGGCAGCATTACAGACAGGACCATTCAGGAGGCTGACCAGGATGGGGATAATGCCATATCCTTTACGGAATTTGTTAAGGTTTTGGAGAAGGTGGATGTAGAACAGAAAATGAGCATATGGTTTCTTCACTAAAGGACAGGGACCAAATTATTCTTGCTTCCTAGTATTTAAGAACTGGAACTTCCTTCTGTCCTCCAGCCCCCACCCTATCCTGTCATCCCCCTTTCCCAGAATACTACTGCTCTTCCAGGACTTCCTGATTTCTCTCCTGTCCACACAGACTTGCCTTTGGTGTATAAACAGGGCATTACAGAATGGTACCCTCAGTCTATTTCTGTTCAGTATGCACCCACCAGGTCTCTATTTGTAAGTAACATCTTCCCCTGATTTGTTGCTGAATGCCATGCATCCATCCTGTCTGAGGAAATGAGATAGGGACTCATGTCAAGAACCAGCCAGCAAAGCTCCCACTGGATGGAGACCATATCCATGCTGCCTTCCCTTCATCAAGCCGCCATTATGTTCCTATGTCCTTCTTGTATCTACATCCTATCTCCCTGTCAGCCAACCATGTATCCATTTGGTCTTTCAGTCTCCATCCTTTTCATTAAGATTCCCTATATTCTCCTTGAGTCCCGGCTCTGCTGTCAAGCTTGTCTCCAATGTGACAGGATAGTGAGTGGTCTGGTGGTTTATATCTACCAAATCCTGGATGTGTCTCTGGGACATTGCTTATCCACGAGCTTTTCAGCAACCAGTACAACTCTTGGAAGCATGTGACTCTCTTGATCCCCTGCACTGCTCTCATCACAGGGCTTATGAACAGAGATATTCTAGAAAGGTGGTCATGGTGAGGCTTGTAGAGCCATGTCTCCTAGGTGGTTTTCCCAGGTCTCTCTACCTTTGGCTTTTTATTTTCAACATATTTATGTGGCTTCTTTTCTGAGTACAGTATTGGCATTCAGAAAATAGTCTTATACCTGCCAGTTTGCTTCTCTTTGGGATACATTGTCACCAATAGAGTAGCTGTTTTGACAACATGGTAGGGGGCCTTCTTGTAGTTTTCTGAAGAGTCTAGGCACCCTGGAGAGCTGCCCACATTCACTCTTCAGCATGGGTTATGCCTCAGTGTTCTGTACACTGGAGGATCTTCACATTTCCAAACAAAAAGACTAGTGTTATGGAAGTGCCTGACTTATCTTAGTCCTCAAGAATTAAATTGTCCTTGGTGTCTTAAAGTTTTGCACAAAATTCTGAATGAATTTTATGCGTGGCAAATTTTAATGCTGGAAGCCCTGTAGTCAGTTCATAATCCTGGTCCAGGTATTAAATGTATTGTCTCATGAGCTTCCTAATCACATGACCTTCCTAGCTCCTTGTGTAGAGTGTAGACCACTGCACATCCTTTAGGAGCATAGGGCCTTGCACTGGTGACACCAACTGAAGTGATAGTAGAGGTCTTTGAATGACCCAGCTCAACTTTTGGGCCAAGGTCAGCTTGGTTTAACCCTCACTGAATCAGGCTGCTTCTATCCTGTGTCTTTGTAAATCTGCTCTTGCCTGGCTTTCTCTGGTGTTTGCTTGCTTGCTTGCTTGCTTGCTTCTTTGCTTTGGAAGGCTATCCAAGATGTGTAAACAATTCTTTAGGAAAGAAATTGCTATTAAAAACCCAAACAAACAAAAACACTGCAAAAGGGAAGGGTAAAGATGAGGAGCAAGGGAGTGGCCAGGATGGACGGATGAAGTCTACATGAATTGGGGAATTCTTTATGAAATATCTGTCTGACTTTGTGATCAAATGATGTAATATAAGAATTGTATAAAAGGGAAGAATTGTCTGATACTGATCTGTTTGAGAAGTACTTCAGAGGCTTCTTGATTACATATTTAAAGTTTCTAAGATTATGCCTCCCCTTGGCTGTATAGCAAACTGTTTTAATCCACAGTTGTGCTTTATTGTCCCATTAAAATTGTATTCCTCAATCCATCAATAAATTAATTGCCATTAAAACAAAAAATGTAATATATAATTAAGTACAGATTATAAATAGTCACCTATAATAGTCAAAACATTTAGTTAGGTTAGTTAGGTTTTCTAGACACGTAGAGATATATTTCAAATGTATAGACATTCTTCAAACCTTTCAAAGACCTACAGAATATGGCATTTAAAATGGTTTAGGTTTTTTCTTGAGAGTGACACACAACTGCTCCTGGCAACACCAATTACCATGGGCTCAGGGAATGGAGAATCCAAGCCCTGATTCCCTCAATCCTCATTCAACTCCAGGCAGAATACTGTATACATAACAAACAAATCTTAAAAAAAAAAAAAAAAAAAAAAAAAAAAAAAAAGGGCTTTGCTGTTTTTTGAGGGTTTTTTGGGTTTTTGGTTTTTTGGGTTTTTTGGTTTTGGTTTTTTGAGACAGGGTTTCTCTGTGGCTTTGGAGGCTGTCCTGGAACTAGCTCTTGTAGACCAGGCTGGTCTCGAACTCACAGAGATCTGCCTGCCTCTGCCTCCTGAGTTCTGGGATTAAAAGCATGAGCCACCACCACCCAGTGCATTTTTATTTTGTTTTGGGGGGGGATAAAAGTGCTTTAAAAAACAAAAGATAGCAACAACCGAGCAACTAAATGAGAGTACAGACACAAAGTGACAGACACATACAGACAACTAATAGAACGGAGTGGGAAGAGTGACAATTAGATCTCTCACCAGTGAAACCAAAAAAAAAGTGACCCACCAAAGGGGCCCAAGAAGGCATTCCTCAGGCCCCTCAGATTCTGAGTACAATGCTGTATCCAGGTTCTTTCAGTGAGTCAACCAAGGGTGCACCAGCCAGTAACAAAATCACACTTACCTCAGGTCTTGGACTTCAGAAAGAAGTCCTGGATTGCTGAGGATTACAGACCAGGGATTTAGGTAGAGTGACTGGCATCCTATAGAAGCCCCCAAGTGTTACGGGGTCTACTTGGATCCAACACAACTCAAACACGAAGTCAATGAAGAAAAGAAAAAATTATTAAAATCAAGCCACTACTGATCAGTTAGGGACACAGAACAGACTCAGGAGCAACATGTGCTGTGCCCCCAACCTTGCCCTAATCACTAGGAAGCAACCTTCAGATACCCTCCATGTGGCAAGGAACCAATCACAAGTTAGCTTCTGGCTCTACCCCAATATATGCTATGCCCCACTACTGCTTGGGACCCCTCCTGCTCCCACCCACTGTGTTGGATGGATGGAGGACCCAAGTTAACCCGTAAATAAAAAGACTTTTTGCTTTTGCATTGGATCTGGTCTCTTGGTGGTTTGGGGCTTTTAGAGTCTGGGAACAAAATTCACCATATGTTGTAAGAATTTTTTTCCTAAGAGGGTGTTAGACAATATCTGGAGCCTTTACCTAGCATATATGTAAAACAACTTTTTCACTACTGCATAGGTGGACTCCTCCTTATTCTTAGATTTTAGGCTGTATACCCTGTTGTTGTCGTCGTTGTTGTTGTTTTTCAGAAAACCTTGAGCCCTCATACAGTTGGGACTCATTTGAATACAACTGTGAGAGCCAAAGTTACATTTTAATTACTATGCCTAAGAGATTCATGAAACAAACAAACAAAAAAACTGTCTCGGATCTACAAGTCCCTTGCCCAAGGACAAATAGTTCCTGAAATGCTGGAGGCTATTTTTATGGGAGATGACAAGCCACATTTTTTTCATGTTTGACCCAACTATATCAGATGTGCTTAATCACATATGAGTAGGAGGTTCACCGGCAGAAAATACGTCATGATGCACTGTAGGGCCCAGAACAGCTTGGGCACACTGCTGCCATGGCATGCTAAATAAATACCAGCACTTATTTATATACACAAGAGCTCACAGACTGTAGCTCCATGCACAGTCCCTGCATGGCTTTAAGCCAGATGGGATCCCAGTGCTGAGATGGGGAGTGGACACACACCCCCATCCCTAACCCAGAGACTATCTCCAGCTAATAACTGCTTGCAAAGGAAAACTTAGTTTTTTCCAGTGGGGTCTTACTGTGCATACAAACCACACTTAAGGCTAGAGCCCCCCTCCCCCAATGCCCAGCAGTAGATGGCCAATACAAAATTAACTTAATGTTGTTTTTGGAGGTTTCTTATCTCAAAATGCTTTATCTGGACATTATTTCTATTTTTTATTTATTTTCTTTCTTTCTCCCCACCCCCTAGGTCTTTTGCATATATATTTTTCTGGTGTTGTGTTTTTATATGGTTTCTCTCTGTGTGAATGTATGTGTCTCATATCTCTGCATCTATTTATTTTCTTGTGTTTTTCTTGGGATCTTTTAATCCTGGTAGTTGGTGGCAGCCAGCTCCTAACCTAGTGACACTATTATAGCTTGCCTCCAAAGACCCCACTCTACCCATTCATCAATGTACTTCTTTCCATTCTCCAAATGGACTGGTTTGTTTAATGACCTATACATTAACTCCTCTGTGAGGGCTAAGAAAACTTAGCTCTATACCAGGCACTTAGTAGCCATGACCTTTGTCCTGAAATTGCTATGAGCTTCTAGCAGACTACATTCTCCCCAGGTTGGTGCTACTGCTGTAATATATTAAAAGAAAGGTGTGCCTTCTGTGAGGTAACTAATATCTTGCTCTGGCTTTTGTAAACCTGCTGATCACTGTGGGACTGAAGATCAGACAGTTTCTTTATATGTGTAACAGGAGTGAGACAGAGGAGAATAAAATAATTTTCTCACACAGCTGTGGATTCCATAGAGAATAAGATATATTGTGATACCCACTTTTAAAAACCCTTTAGCCCTCTTTGGTGTGACATTTCCTTGACTTGACTTGCTTTAGACCTAACAGAAGTGATAGTAACTTGTGGATTTGCTCTCTATGACATTTTCTTCATCTATATGTGTGTGTGTGTGTGTGTGTGTGTGTGTGTGTGTGTGTTTGTATTCTAGTGAGAAAGGAAAAATATGGATTTTGGGTATGTGGGAAGTCAGGGAATGTCTTAGTTGCTATGCTACTACAATAAAAAGACACCATGACCAAGGCAACTCTTATAAAAGAAAGCTTGCTGATAGTTTCAGAGGGTGAGTCCATTATCATCATGGTAGGGAGAAGGTGGACATAGTCCTGGAGCAGTAACCGAAAGCATTTACATCCTGATCCACAGGCATAGAGCAGAGAAGCACTTGGCCTGGTGTGG